CTTCACCGAAGTAGGGGATGCCCCTGTTCACATTCCTCTGACCTACAGGCGGAGCCTTCAGTTTGCCCAAGAAGACGATGCCTCTGGAAGCGAGAACTTTCAGCCAAACGCCCAAAAAATAATCCCTCCGATATTCAGCTACCGCCTCGCGCAGCAGCAGCTGAAAGAGATGAAGAAGAAGGGCCTGACTGAGACCACCAAGGTGTACCACGTCTCTCAGAACCCCCTCACGGACACGGTTGTTGGTGCCACTACGATGCTTCCCCTGAGTGCAGAAACCCAAGAGGAGGGAGTGGCCAACAAATTTAGGATCAAATCTCCGTTTCTGGACCAGCCGGCCGGTCAGCCCAAATTCCTAGGAGAAGGCTGTAACCCGAGGCTGGATTTTCCGTTCTCCCAGGCCGGTGCTGCATTGAGCCCCACGCAGACCTTGACAAGAAGAGCTCATTTCAAACACCCGGATAACAGAGGTGAGTTGTCCGAGAGGGGCTGCCACAGAAACCCTCAGTTTAGAAGAACAGCCAGTTTTCACGAAACGAAGAAGGCCAGGCCTTTCAGAGAGAGAAGCATGTCCACCCTCACCCCCCGGCAGACTCCTCTGTATACCTCCAGGACCAGGATGTGGGACCAGTGCTTGGAAGACAGGACGCGGCCAAAACCGAGGAACCCAAACCCAACCTCTGAAAAGCTGGATCAACCCCACGGCGCCGCGCCAATGTGTGAACATGGCACAAAAGGCCACCACAGGCCATGTCCGCCTGTGAAGAAGCTGGATCTGATCGCCGATCGCCAACATGCCAGTCAGGACAGGGCCCCTGAAAAGCCTGAGCCCAGCAGGAGTAAGCGGGGCTCTTCACCTAACCCCAAAGGTGCCTGGCGGAAGGAAACGAGCTCCGCTGGCAAAGAGAGTTACCAGAGAGGCCTCACTGTAAGCCCTGCCCAGTACCGAAAGGACAAGTGCCAGAGCTTCCCGGTGGACCCTGAATTTGCCTTCTACGATAATACCACCTTTGGCTTAACGGAGGCGGAGCAGCAAATGATCGATCTCCCTGGGTATTTTGGCTCAAACGAAGAGGACGAAAGGAGTACTTTAAGTATTGAGAAGCTTGTGATCTGAGGGACTCAGTGCAACCGCATAGGAGGGGTGTGTGCGGGAGCGGGTCTGCAACATCTGCTGGATTCTGCTGAGAGGAGCAGTGGGAATTATGTTCTTCTGCTTGGAGAAGGAGGGAAATCCCAAAGTCTGACTTGCGGGAACGCATTCCTATATAATGACTAGAAAGTGCTTTCATATAATTATTTTTTGTATGTGTGTGTCTAAAAATACACACATGATACCCTGGGAAAGCTCGTGTTAGTGAAGGCGTGACACAGGAGCGATCCACTGGGTTTTGTTGCATAAAGCAGTCACCTTCCATGCTTTAGACATCATGAACCCCATTGATATAGACATTTTCGTCTCATGAAAACCTTCTACTAGTAGATGATGATGTCCTAAGAGATCCGTTTTCCAAACATCTGTCCTAATTAGTGAATCATTTCCCATTTAGGAAGCACAAACCCCAAGCTGCGAGCAATTTCCATCATTTTTTGTGGTCATTATTGAGCTGTGTTGATTGGTTGCAATTGCTGAAATATGTCATGTGTTGGTGCTTCTCTTTGCTGGTTGGGTGAAAGTGCAAGCAGTGCATACTGCACATTTGGAGAGAAAATGGAGGGGGTATTTTTCATCATTCGGCGCTTTGATGTTCTCTTTCTGCCAGTATTTATAGCAAAAAAATACAGTGATGTGCAGATATTTGCAGGAGATAGTAAAAAAGAGCATGCTGATGGGAGGGGCAAAGAAAAGTATTAAGTTGTAGCCCTCAGAAACCTTAGTGGAGTGCTTGGATAGCCATAGTGGGCAGTGGGAGCCGTCTGACCACCCGCCCATTCTGTGATCATCATTGCCTTTATTGAGCGGTTTATTTTCTGTGTCGATTAAACGACAGTAATACTACTGAAGCAAGTTCAAAATAAATTATGGACAAACCCTGCAAAGAACACATTTATTTGGTAAATACCTGGTTTGCAAATCAAAAGGAAAAAGGCTTGTCAACATCTGTCGATTCCCAGAGAACTTGGAGGTGAAATGCAAAAGTTACATTGGTGTTTTCTTCTTCATGCTTTAAAATCAGGAATTATAAACTGTGATTACACAGTGCTGCAGGAATTCAGAGCTGGGTCTAAACCCTGACTGACAGCAGAGACAGAGCTCGGGCCAGCGAGAATGACTCAGGATGTTTGCTTGGCGTTCGTTGGAGCAGCCGCCTCTTCAGAGTCTGCAGGGACAAGGGGAGCACTGCTGGGCGTAAGCAAGGAAAGAAAAGATGCTGGCAGCAGAGGATGGGATGAGAGAAGGTGGGTTCAGGCAGAGAACTGTCAGTCTTCAAACACCCCCATAAGCAGCCTGATCTGTATGGCAGGGCTCGCTGTGCTGGGAGGAGGCAGGATGTCAGCATTTGGCCGCCGGAGTTGGGCTCTACAGCCGATGGAACATTTTGCAGCTGCTGCTGGAGCTCGGGGCCTGAGTGTCAGCATGCTGAGTGCAGCCTCTTCCCAGAGCTGCTCCAGCACGGCGACGTGTTCCCATCAGCTGTCAGCTCAGTGTGCTGCTTACAGCAGCTCAGAACATGTCCGCACTTGAGGACCAATCCAAAGCTAATCAAACGTAACTGGTCTTTAAATTGACTTAAATGAGCTGGAAACCAGATCTCTAGAGCAATTACCTCTTAGCTCACTTACCACCCCTGTGCTAAGGTAAACTTGGCTGTGTGAAGCACATTTGCCCTGAAGCAGTGATCCATCAGCTTCAGAGCTACAGTGCTGCGAGATATATTTACAGTCTCGTAAGGCAGGAGACCCTGGAGAAATGGATGATCAAATGTACTGCATAAAGACATTCAGGAAGCCTTAATAAAACCTTCAGTGGGAGGTATTTGAGCTTGACAGTAGTCCTCAGATCAAACTAGTACTTGTCTAGTGTCACTTTACGGTATTTATTAAGATTAAAAGGGTTCTGAAACACTCAGTAGGGTTTGCTTTAGGTGCTGTGGGGTCCTGCCCAAAGCCTTGTGACTCTTGTGTCTCCAAGGGGCTCCCAGCACAAGAAAGAGGCAGCTCTGCTCTAAGCCAGTTGCTGCTTTCATAGAATCACAGAATGGCTTGGGTTAGAAGGGAACTCAAGGATCAGTAAGTTCCAACAGGCCTGCCACAGGCAGGGCTGCCAGCCACTAGACCAAGTAGCAGATCAGATTGCCCAGGGCCCCAACCAACTTGGCCTTAAGGCTTTCTGCAGCCTCTTCTCAACGTCAGGCTCCCTCCAGTGACTGCAGTGCATGAGGTGGACATCACAAATCTAAAGCACCAGTGAATGAATCAGACTCCCTTCCATCCCAAGCTGACAGATCTTGACCCCATTTTCTGCCTGAGAAAAGCAGCAAAATACCGGTGCAGACTGAAGTCAGTCCAACTGTAATGGCTTTGGATAATGGACTCCTGAAGCTTTATGGCTATTGGAGGATTGGACTGGGTAACAGCTGTCGGAGTAAGCCCTGTTGACTGCTGCTGCTTGGTTGTTTGGCATCAGATGGGGGTTATTGGCTGCTCAGCAATCTGTCAAACCACTAATGCTGGCCCTTTGGTAGCGTTGCTGATTTCCAGCATGCAGAGTTGAGTTTCACCAGCTTAGTCTTTACTCTGCTTCCCTAGACCTGAAGAATGAAGGCTGAGTATCATATGCCTGCTAGAAGGCCTTAACAAAACCTGAAGTTGTTCACATTTCTCTGCATCTTCTGCATAAACAAAAATTGTCCTTCCTGCTCTTGATACCACACCACTGGCTGCCTCATTATACAACATGCAAAGGGATTTCTTATGTTCTCAACATACAGTTAAAGCTTTGCACTGATTTTACCATTGTAAAATGCAGAAGGGATCAGTTGAGGAGTTGGAATAGATGATCTTTAAGGATCAAACCATTCTATGATTCCACGATTCCATAAAATGATATACTAAGTGCTGGTTGTTAGCAGGTCCTTCTTCACAAGGGCAAGCTCACTGCAGACATACAGGTGCAGGTTTTTCCACGTGGACCCACATCAGTTCTTGGGAAGAGGACAGTGATGTGGTGTCATCAAGGCGTGGACTTCAGGAGAAAGTCTCCCTGGAGCACCAGCCCACTGCACGTAGGCATTCACTTTTGCAATCATTGGGGTGTCTAGAACAAGTGAGAACAGGATTTACCTCCTGAAAAAGCAGGGGAATCAAACCAAATGATACACTGACTATTCATACGTCTCCGCATTGTCTCCAGGACAGCCTGAGACATAAAAATCAGATTCACTTTGCAGACCCCTCTGAACTACCCAGGACAGGAGGTATCTAAGTGCCAGAGATAACAAAATAATGAAATTCCTGCATTATGTGCTTTCTCATCCAAACTTCTGTTCAATTTCCTACTGTTTAAAAACAGATACAAAGTGTTAAGTGCTACTCAGATGGTTTTATTTCACACTTATGGCTATATAATACAAATTATAACATGTATTGTTCTAAAAGCAAATAAATGAAAAATAACCTGTTTAAAAAAATTGTAATTCAGAAAAAAAACCAAAAAGGCTCATCCTACAACACAGTAGTTAAATGATTTGCATCAACTTGACAATACTGTTCATTTTGACTTGTTGTTCTCAACAACTTGTGGAAAATAAATTTTCAGCATTCTGTTTCAGTCATTTATGCTCTTTTATTTCAGTCAGATGAGATAATGAATGCACTATGCCTTATGTTTCAATCCCTTTTTGAATTCTAATTCCCCTTTGCTAAAGAAAGTCTTACAATAGGTTTAGTGAGGCAGTGGCACGGGTTGCCCAGAGAAGTGGTGGATGCCCCATCCCTGGAGACACCCAAGGTGAGGCTGGACGGAGCTCTGAGCACCTGATGGAGCTGTAGGTGTCCCTGTTCATTGCAGGGGAGTGGGACCAGATGGCCATTGGGGGTCCCTTCCAACTCTGACAGTTCTATGATTCAGTAATTCTAAAGTGGTCTGGTAAATTGCATGAGACCATAGAGATGGATCACGATTGCATTTTGTGAACTCCCAAGGATATCTGTTCTAATCTTAAATTTAATAAAATCTGCCTCATTTAAATCTAGACTTAAATATAGTTACCAGCATTGTCTATGATTGCATTAGCATGCCCCATATGCTGTAGAAGTGGCTCTGCAGAGCAAAGCTGGGGCAATGAAATGCAGCATCAACACTGCCCATGCTGTGGGGGCTTACTCTGAAGTAGTCTTACTTGAAAGTAGTCAGGTTGCTGATCAGCTGTTGGAGCACATCCATCTGCTGGCTTGGTGTCACGTTCTAGGTGTGTTCTGAAACTGAAGTGTAGCAATTGGTGACTATAGAGAGTTGCTTAAAAACATGCTGCTAATCCAAATCCAAGCTCTAATGAGGGCACACCCGATGAAGTCCAATTCCTTATCACTTCATTATTTCTGTTATCATGTTCTCAGGCACTGACCATCACAATCAAGATGAGAAAGACTTACCCTTGAGGAGTACAGCTAGCTAAAAGAACATGCTTGATCATTCAGGATCCAGAGAGCTTTTCAGAAACATTCTGCAGTGAAGTCCCAAAAACTGCTGAAAAAGGAAGCTGTGTTCTTCTCTACATTTTTCATTTGATTGTTGGCTGGCTGTGCTCAAACAACTCAGCTAGTAGAAACAGCTGCAACTACAGTTACTGCAGTGCCGTTTTGACAGTTGGCAGCAGCAGCAAGTTGGCTATTACTGTACAAAACTCATCCCATACTTTTTCACTTTTCAAAGCAGCAGATTTCAGCTGCCCTGACCATCCTCACCATCTCCGCTCTCGCCGTCAACAAAGAACGGAGACCTGATTTTCATGGCCGAGAATTTGAGCGAGTACCACATCCCGTGCCACGTAGCCCAAACAATGCCGTCGTCATGGGATCCGCTGTACCTCCCTGTTGTGTAGAAACGTCCATTGAGATTTACAGCGTGGCACCTTGGAACAATAATGTAGGGGAGGGAAAAAGGAGATCGTGTTGAGCCTGGGAAGACATTGCGTTGTTATAACAAGGTACAACTTTCACACAGCAGATGTTTGGAAATACCATGGGTGGGATTCACTGACAGGTTCAGACACTGGACACACCTGTGATAAACTAGATGTCTGATATCCTACTACTACCTATGGAGAACTGGTTAATGCAGTCAGTGGAGCCAAGATAAGTATGCGGGTCATCCTAAAGTAAACAACTACTCTGGTCAGATAACACAACCTGCTGGCTGCTTTGAATGTACTGACCAGGGACGTGATTCATTTCCCTGAACGCAGAGAGGTCTGTGGTATGCTTCAGCTCAAGTGTGGGTAACTATGTATTAACACCTAAAAATGCAGATGTCTTTGAATCTAGGTATTGATGTACACTTTTGTAGCTCCACTGACTCCAAATTGTATGCAATGGGGGCTTAGACTAAACAAAAAAGAGGTTTGTCCTGTGCCAAAGTGTAGGAAAACTCCTGATGGTGGGATGTCTATGCTCCTGAGGCTGGTGAACTCTATCTGCTTTTTGTGGGCATACCCAAATGGAAAACATATCACCAGGAAGAGTAAGGAGCAGCATGTCCCCCTTTACAAGTGCCATAAAAATACTTTTGCATTCTTCCTCTTGCAGTGTCTATGACTATTTTCTTTCTTAGGATATAACCCAAAGCACTTCCAAGGAATTTTCAGTCAGGCTCTTCTTCCAAGTCATTCCCCCTGTACTTTTATTCTGGCCTATTTTCTTAAAATGAATGCAACTGACCTGCTTGGCTTCATAACAAAAGTAGCAGATTGTTTTCCTGTTGGTATGAACATGTCAGATTTAGCTGTGAGAGGTGGCGTGTGCCAACAGCAACCTCCATCTGCTGCAAGGCAGGCAGGTACTCTTGGCAGAACTGCCACCCACACCCTGTTCGTACTTCCAAAGGCTGAGTAGAATCAACTGTTTTCCATACCTGTTAAACCACCAACCACCACTGCTTTCCAATGCACAGTTGCCTGCCAGGAATCGATCGTGATCCTCGTCAGATGTGGTGAACTGCATTCCTCTGTGGGAGGCTGACCACTGATCTTCAAAACTGCTTCCACCAGACAGAGCGTCACCGGCATTACCAGAGTAGGTGCCAAACCACAACCTGTAGTTGTCCTGCAACGGGATGTGAAATGTGTCTTTGATATCAGCTCTTATTTTTGAGATATCAAATTTTCTCCGTCCATTGTATCCCCTGTCAAATAAGTGGCTGTTGAAGCGACAGGTGACTTTTGGCCTTATGATTTACAGAATATCAGAATGGTTGAGGTAGAAAGAGGCATCTGGAGACCGTCTGGTCCCTGCTCAAGCACGCTCCCTATGGCATGTTATGTGTGTCCACACAGCTTTTGAATATCTTTAGGAAAGGAGACCCCACATACATTCTGGGCAACTTGTACCAGTGCTCTGTCAGCCATGCAGTAAGAAGTTTTTCCTTGTATACTGATGGAGCTTCCCATGTTTCAGTTTCTGTCCACTGCCCCTCATTCTATCGCTAGGAACAACTGACAAGAGTTCACCCCATCCTCCTGGCACCCTCCTTCCAGGTATTTATACACATGGATAAGTTCCCTCCCGAGCCCTCTCTCCTCTAAGCTGAGCAGGCCCAGCTCCCCCAGCCTTGCCTCATATGAGCAGTGTTCCAGTCTCTTCATCATTTTAGTAGCCTTTCTATTATACTAGCATTGACACAAAGGGCTTCAGGTTTTATTGATTTCCATGAATCATTTGACACACTATGCAACAAGCTGGAAAGCTCTGCCTGGCTCATTGGTCACAACACCTGTTGCAGGAACCTGTGCCAAGCAGATGTTTTCATAAACTGGTCATGGTTCAACTACAAGTCCTGTAGCATTTTCTCTCCTCTAAGACCTACAAGTCATCTGATTTTTAGTTTAACAGACCTGTCCTCTTAAGAATTCTTGATAGAACTGTCTGTGTGCAGCTAACATTTCTGAGAAACATTTGATATGAGGTGGATGATTACTTCTGTGATGTGGAGTGTTCCTGATATCACATTCCAATTCTATTTATGGGAAAAAAAAGAAAAAAAAGAAAAAAAAAAAAAAAAAGAGAATGGTTATTTTCAAAACTTTTCATAAGAAAGCTGTAATTGCAAATGGAACACAGTGCATGCATTTCTGGAACAACGATGGAGGTGGGACTAGAACTGGTCCACGCAGGGTGTGTGGGGCACTTACACATGGGGTTCAGAGGTGCAGCCCCTGCACTGAGTAGTTTGCTGTCTACAGATAGAATGCAAACATGGAAGTACATGAAAGATCTGCCTGTCTCTTTCTCTGCCTGTGGCACTTAGTAGAGGATTGATGCTGAAGGCTGACGCTGTGTGGATAAAACAAGAAGTCATTGCTCTCTCCATTTCTTACCTGTTCACTGGTGAGCTGGAAGTTTTCATACACTGCGTAACGTCGTTCCCCATGCCAGTCCATCAGGTCAATCTTTAATGAGCTCTCTCCTAAGCACAAAGTGGGCTCCTGTTAGAGGAACTATCTCAGGTGAATTGGAAAAATCAGCGGAGGGAGAATACTTGCACCTCTAGCAAGCAGGTCATAGATGTGGTCGTTGCCCAGCCAGTATTCATCATTCTTGCCCTGGAACTTCCCAAATCCCAGTTTGTAATCATTCCATTTCCTGCAGTAGATACAAATATGAATTTCAGCATATGAGGGCAACAAGTGTCGGTGATACTTGCAGTTTCATAGATATAACAGTCTTGGATGAATAAAGTGATATAGTGAAGAATCTGAAAATGAGCAAAAGCTGCATACAAAAGCTTCTGGATGAAGCTGGAAGGAAGATATCTGGATCTGTTTTGTGTTGCTGTTCCACTTAAACCTATTTTTAATTCACTGACCACTCTCACTTCTGTTTCTTTGCGAAGTCACTGCTTGTGGCAACTTGTCCTTTAAGGATACATACTTGTTTTTCCCCAGAATCCTGTAGCTTTGTTGTTCTTAAGATAAATCTTACATTATTACATTCTTCTAATCATTTCAGTAACTTAAAACCTCCTGTTATTTCTGTGCTGTCCTTGATATTCACATATACTTTCTGTGTACTGATATTTCTAATTTAATTAACCCTGCCTTTATTCCCTCTCTCAGGTTGTTTGTGGGGATTTCAAATCTGCCTGACCTACTTACTAGTCAGTGCTACTCCTCAGAATGTTTTTCACTCTGCTAAAAGTTGAATCACCATGGCTAGATAGCTACCCTCCTCTAGGTAGGCTAGCTTAGAGCCAGTTGATGTGGCTTTACAATAGGTTGCACTTGATTTAAGAGACACTAGATATGCCCTAAAACTCTGCGAGCTATAATTAATCTTCATGGGGACATTTTTTTCCAGGTAAAAAACTTTTTCCATAAGGGTCATCAAACACGGGAACAGGTTAAGGGGCATTTGGATAGTCCTGCTCCTAATGCACTTTGACTCTTGGTTAGCCCTGAGGTGGCCAGGCAGCTGGATGATCTTTATAGGCCCCTTCCAACTGAACTGCTTCATACAAACATGCATGCACATACACTCTCAAATGCAGATGACCATGGAAAAGGTATTATAAATCCATCTTCAAAGTGGCCTCCTGTTACCAGTATATACCCACACATTGCCCTAATGCAAAGAGTTACCATCATTATCATCTTGCATATCCTGCTTCCCAATCCTTGGGTCCTGCCACCCGTTGGGCGCTGGGGGTCTCACTGAAGGTTCTGTTGGTGGCACCTCAAGGCACCTACCTGTTGAAATTCTCTCTGCCGTTACTCCGCCGCTGAATTATAGTCCAACCACCACCATCAGACATGTCACAGTACACCAGGAAAGGCTCTTGGTCTGCCCTGGGCCTGACTCGATAGTAGCCACTTTGGGTCTTCTTCCTGTTATACACTGCAGAACAATCTGGGCAGAATGGAATCAGTTTGTTACATGAGGGAACACAACGGGGTGCGTGCAGCTGAGAGAGGGCATCGCTGAGAGAAATAGGACATGGAACCTTGGCCGGCTCTGCAAGGCCTGCAGAGACAAAGCAGACAGGTCAGAAAGGTGTTAGCAATGCTGACTTTCAGAGCAGGGCTTTGGAGCCTTGGGAGTCATTCCCAAATATGCAGTGAGAAGGGGACAGGTGCAGCTCAGGTGGGGCGAGAGCACGTGGAATGTGGGAGCAGGGTTGGCTCTGTCAGCAGGTGCCGTGCAGAGACCAGGGAATGGCATGGGCAGCTGGCTGGGCCCAGCTGTTGTGCGTACTTCAGACTCCCAGAACAATACAGATCTAGCATCACTGCAAGCGGTATTAAATTTCCACGTGGAAACTTAACCTCAGCTGTACTTTGACCTGGATAAAGGCCTAAAATTTCTAAAGCTAGAGGTGAGTTCGTGTGACCGCCTCCAGCAGGGATTCATACTTTTAGAGTAATGCCCATCAGGAATGAAATCACAGCCACAGTCTATGATTCAAGTTATGACAGCATTATCAAAGTGACAGCAAGAGGCAGAGCATGCCTGTGCATTACCATGCAACAGAACAGGAATGCTGGTTTCTTCCAGACAGGTTGCAGTGCCTGCATCCCATCTTCTCCTGCAGCGCATGTCTAAAGCAGGTCTGATGGAAAAGAGCTGCACCATGCTTTTTCCTTTGCACCAGAGTCTCTGGGTGAAAACCTAGCTGCAGATAGCTGGGTGGTAGCTGGGTGCTGGCTGCCTAAAGCTGGGCCAGGTGAATCCTGCCCCAGGGAAGCCTCCTGGCACCAAGGCCACAGCTTGCCCTTCTCCTTCCATGTACCTGACTGCGTGTTAAAACACATTCCACTTGAACATTTTAAAAGCTCAGTAAATTTTTAGCAGGAATAAAATGTGATACAAGGGACACTGCAGGAAGAACTAAACTTTTTTGCAAGCTGACATTTCCACACAGACTAATGCAAAATGTACCTTGGTCATAGACTATCAAATTTCCACTGGTTGTGGGTAAAGGAGCCTCAAGCTGTATGCTCCCGTTGCCTGAGAAGAGCCCACTTTTTGTCCTATGATAACTGTTCTCCAGGATGTCCTTCAGCTGCAGTTCATATAAGTAAAGCAGATCTTGAAGATGTTTTAACCTTTGCCTCAATTTACTGTTGTCTAGGAAACAAATATCATTTTCCTGTGGGGGGAAAAAAATAAATGAAAAGAAAGAACAAGAAACACACTTCAATCAGTGATAGGAACAGAGGGGCAGAGAGGGAATGAGTGCGTGTCTCCTCTTGACCTTAGCACATTGCTCTGCCTCTATGGATCAAGATGATTCTATGATAGCAGTCCCTCTCTAAGAAGTGTGAGTCCTGCAGCATGGGCTGTTGAGTTGAACCCAATGAAAAGTGATTTCTTGCAATGGTCTTTCCACTATCTGAGCATTGCAGAATATCATCAGATATGTGGAAAATTACTTTGGACAAAAGTCATTCAGCTCAGTTAAGGAAATCAAAGGGAATTTTGCAGACTATGAAACTGCTCAGGGTAATAAGAGCAGAAAATCCTTGCTCTTGCACTGCAGCCAGACTAAACCAGTGAGGTACCAAAACATCTTGTAAAACTGGAAGATAAAAGAGCTGAAAAGCAGTGGGCCTACTGGGATAAGTGGAGTAACTTCAGAGCTGCATTACTATAATCAAGACCAGAATCAGCCCGCTGTGGCTGGGACTTTCAGCAGTCTGTGGTGGATGTTACTCCATTAGTTACATCAACAGAACAGAGCAAATTATCTTCCAAGAAAAGGTGTGCGTAAGAACCGGCTGCTGGTTTTGCTCTGAGCATGCTGGTTGGAGCAACACCAGAGCAGGCCCAATTCTAGGCATGAGAGAAACAAGCAGGACAGCAGATTGCCTTGTGTGCCAACACATGGTTGCCCAGCCGCCTGCTTCTTTTCCTCCACTTGTTTGTTTTCCCCTGCAGAGGAGTGTTGCCAGGTTGGAGCCACACAGGAACTTGCTGCAGACAGCTCTGGGCTCACCTCTGCCAAACTCTGTACCTCTTTGAGCTGGCCCAAGAGTAATTTGCTCATCAGATGAAAACGGATTGCTTCAGACTATGTCTAGCTCCTCTTTCCCTGCTTCTTAAATTGCAGTGAATAAAAAGAAGACAGTTTTCCCTGAGGAAATGGGATGGAGTATTTCTCTGCTGGCCGTAAAATCTTTTTTTTTCCCGTCTTTTTTTTCTTTTTTCCCTTGAAAGGGCTTTTTTGTTGTTGCTTGCAATTCTTAGCAATGTCAGTCCAGCCATGTGGAGGGTTGCACAGCCCCTAATGCTGTGAAACTCTTGTTATCAGCAGCAGGAGTAACCTTCACTTAGTCGTAAGCTCCTGCAGTCCCACGTTGTCTGCAGGGGACACCCATCCCTATGTGACTGGAAATGATAACCACTGGCATATCACAGAGAGGCTGTACAGACACTGGTTGAGGCATACGCACCGAAAACCTGGGTGCAGATGAGCCAAAGTTGACCAGAAGGAGCAGCAGCCACCAGGACATCAACACACTCATCTCTTATCACCTGAAAAGAAGCATTGACAGACTGCACTGTTTCTCTCTCAGCTTACCCTTTCTCCCCTACATCACAATCACATTTAACTCCCCAGTAAATGCTGCAGGACTGGATATGTTTTCACAAAGAGTGGTGAGCACTGGCACAGGCTGCCCAGGCAAAGTGGAGTCACTGTCCTTGAAGGTGTTCAAGAACTGTGTAGATGTGGCACTGAGGGACAGGATCAGTGGGCATGATGGGATGGGTTGGTGGTTGGACTAGGTGGTCTTAGTGGTCTTTTTCAACCTTAACAATTCTGTAATTCTGTTCTATTTGTTAAGGAGGTAACTTGAAGCCACAGACAGGAAAGAATGGGAGAAAAGGTACATGCAAGGGAGAAGCTGAAACATCAGTGCAGTGTGCTGACATGGAGGCCGAGGGTTTGATCCAAGCTTCTGCTGCACTGGAGGAACAAACCCCCTATGTGATGCTCCAGCAGCTCTGCCCCCTCTCTCTGGTGCTCACACACATGGGAAGTTACTCAGCATCTCACCAGAGTGCTCCTTGTCAGAATAGATTATCAAAACTACATAGTCCCCATGCAGTCCTTTCTCCCCACAGATAACAGGAATTTTGCCTCCTGGTTCAGTGTGCATATGGATTTTCCCTTCTGAGCTCCACAGAGCTGTCTATTAGTAGGGGAGCTGCAGAGTGAGCACAGATAAGGCACAGGATGGTTTTCAGTGGAGTTTTCAGTTTTTCAGTGGGGAAGTGGGAAAAAAAAACCTCTGTTGCTGTTCTTTGCCCCAGCACACAGACAGGGCTTTGGGATGAGGCTCAGCTATAAAAAAAACACATAAACAACCACCACTGGGAACATGCAGCTGAGTGCAAGCAAACAGTACAGATTGTTCATAGTGTGCCTGCGTGGTGCACTTAAAAAAAAAAACAAAAAAAAAAAACAAAACAATCGTAAAAGAATAAAACAAAATCTGAGAAATGGGATAAAGCAACTCCCCCTCTTCATATCTGGAAGTGCTGCAAAAAAGTTGGCTCCCCAGATCTGCACTCCCAAGACTTGCTTTGCTTTAGCTGCAACTCTAGCAGCATCGCTGCAGCAGCTGCATATAGAGCTGGCAAAGCTGCTGTGACAGGGGAGCTGCCTGGAAGCAGGGCCAAGGCAAACCAAGAGAACTGCCCTGTGGAAGTCACTGATAAGAGACATGCAGGTGTGAGCTCTGGCACATGGCATTTTTTCAGATGACAGAGAAAAGAGTTCAGAGTTATAGAATGGTTCCCCCTGAGCCCAGGATTGCTGGTACTTCTCCTTCCCGTTGCCCTGCAGCATGCTGACATTCTGGCACTGAGGTCAGGATCAGGCCCAGTGCAGAGAATGAGGGTGGAAGCAGAAAGGTAACAGGAAGGATGGATTGGAGCAATGACTCCTGAAAAATAGGTAGTGAAGTCTGGAGGGGAAAAAAAAAGTGATTTTGTCTATGCCTTTATCAACATATATTAAATCCACATACCTGCAACTCGCCTTTCCTTCAGACCTCCTCCTGATACGAATATCTCTCTTGAAAGTCAACTGCAAAATAAAGTGATCATAATCCTGGCTTTCTTTCTAAAGGCTGAGTAGATTTTCCTTTCCAGATGGCCCACATCAAGGGCTCAGGAAAATGCTTCACTGCAACAGGCAGCTGCACACAAAACACGTGCGGTTTTACACTAATCCTGATGTATCTGTTGTTACCCAATACTGCTCTTACCCTGCTGCCTCACAGTTAGAATAAGGAACAGTTATGTGGTGCTCTCCAAATGAGAGTGACTCTGCTGGTTGTGCATCATTACCCACCTTATCTGACCATGGAGCTCAAACAAGACTGACTTGCTGAAATGTGTATATGAATCACTCAGACTAACGCTCCCCGTGGGAGTTTTATCTCATATTTAATACGGCCAGGCTCATTTCAGTAAGCCCCGCAAGGTGGAACGAATGCAGCTTTTGTGGTCGGGTGTTTCTTTAGCTGTTTGATCTGGTTTATATGTAAAAAGCACAGTGCAGCCGTAACGCCGAAAGAGCTGAAAGTTTGAACCAAGAAGTGAATGCAGGGGTGTTGAGCAAGATTTGATACTCAGCTGAAATCTCAGAGGGTTTACAGTTGTGTAACTCCTCGGAGCTGGATGATGGGATTTGCTAGTTAACACAAACAAGGACATTTGTGGAAGAGAGAAAAAAGCAAACAGATGAGTGCATCCAGTTGCATTATGGCCAAGGAATTACAGATTATTTTAAATACAATCGCAGGAATGCTCCATTTTACAGGGCTGAGGTCAGAGGAGGGGCTGTGGGGCCAAAAGACAAGGTATATAAGTGAGCCCTTCATAAACTTTTCTATTACTCTTCACTAAACAGGACTTTACAGCTCTTACAAAGCACAGCAGTGATGTTTATTTCTTAAAAATTCAATTTGTCTTCTTCATCAGGAACTGCTGACCCATCTCATCACAAAAGGGTTATGTAAGCAATGCTCTTCTCACCACTTATTCACTACCCTTGTTTTGAGGCAGGCTTTTGAGACTGTTTTGGATGCCCCTGAGCACATGGAGTCTGCCTGCTGTTCCCTGGGGCCGTGTCACTCAGCTCTTCTCTTGCTTTTATCCACGTTGTCCCTTTCTCATCTTGAGCAAGTCAGACAGTGCTTGAGATGACACACACCAAACTATGCTCTTGCCTACCTGGCCAGCATGCATGTCCCCTCAACCCATGGATGTATCTTGATTCTGGATAGAGAAGCACAATGGATTCCAGCCAGCAGCAGCAGCAGCATTACAGCAATATGGTCAGCCATGGGTGTTTGCAGCGTCCCATGGAGGCCATCAGACCCCACATCTCCAACTCCAGCTGGTCCCTGGTAGAATGGGGCAGTGGGGCTGCAAACCTGGTTGGGGAACAACCCCTGCATGTATGTTAAGTGACTGCCACTTTGTAGGGGCAGAACTCAAAGTCCAACCCTTCTTCAGGGACCTCCAAATGCCTCTCAGAGCCCAGAGGCCCGGAACGCCCATGTTCTGTTCAGGGCTGCAGTGGTGATAGCCTCAACAGTGTCTGCATGGGGAAAATCCCGGTCAGCTGGAACATGTTCCTTGCATATCTATTTCATGATGAATTTATTTGCCCAGGCTAGAAGAAGAGTCAGGAATACCTGAAGTACTGGAGAGAGGTTGCCACGAGGTTGAGTTCCCATGAGGCAGCTCCAGCAGAGAGACATGTTCCTGCACCGCTTCACTGGCCCTGAGGTGAAACGACCAAGTCATCGTGCAGAACGCGGACAGTGTGAGCAATAAAGCGTCCTCACAGATGTTGAAGTCTCTAGGCAATGGGGCTGAACTTTTTTTTTGGGTCTGAAATACACGTGCTTCACACACGTACTGCAGTGCAAATTCCTGTTTGGTTACTTGGAAGGAGACCAAGTTCCCTCTTCACAAGACACTCAGTGATCTTGTCAGCAAATAATAACCATTTCATTAAATAAAAACTTCCCCACCCTGCTTTCTTCTTCCCTGCTCCCAGCGAAAGTACGTAGGTGCTGAATAACACTCGTAAAAAAACTACTATTCATGCATTAAATGCACAGCCAGCACAGCAAGAATGGAAAGCAGTGGTCAAAAGTGAACAGAGGGGCTCTGGGACAGCTCTGGATATTCCTGCAGCTGTGGTTTGCTGGGCTTCCCCAGAGCTGCTCAGCATGAAGACGTGAAGATGATACCCCTAGGACACTCACCTCCCCCTAGGCATTAATAGAACATCATTGCTGCTGGAAGACAGAGGTGGCATCCCCAGACTCTCAGGACAAGTTTTTCTCCCAAACAAGTTCCTGGCTGTTTGTTTGTTCTTAAAGCAGTAAGGAAGAAATGAGCCAGCTGCTCCAAGGCTTCAAAGGAGTTACAGACTTGAGGTTTTCACAGCAAGAGTCTGGCTACCTACCCGCTCCCTAGGAAAATTCAGAGCAGTCCAGAGCCAGCTCCAAGCAAAACAGCTCATTTGCACTGAACCCAGGTGCTCTATGCATTTGCCATTATTTCTGTGCCTCTCCACCACTTCCCACCTTCCATGAACATCTTGCTCACTGGCAGAGACAACAAACCCGTGTTCTTTGCAGGCCCTGCAGGTGTGGAGGCAGCAGCAGCCTGCAGGCTCTCAATGAGCCAGCTGCTATGCATTTTCTGGAGGAATGTGGGCTGCTAGGGTTTTTGGTTTTGTTTTTTTTTAACAAAGTTAATTTATGAGGTTTGAAGCAGTTTTGTTTTGTTTTTCAAATCTAACAATAAAGGACTTCAACGAAAGTATGATAAATTTAAAACATCCTGATGACGTCAGCCACTGTAGTTTCAATCTATGAAATAACCGAAACCGGGACATACGTATGAAAAGTTTGTGGTTTGTTAGCAAGGGATAACCACAGAAATCTGTGCACAAAGGAATAATGGTGGCAGGCCTTGAAACATGCCAGATCTGAATGTTTTGATAACGTTCAAAGAGCAAAGACATAATTCAGTCTAAGAAGCCTATATGCAGCCTATGAGTATCTAATGGGTTGATACAACAAACATAATTAGTTCCTAAGCCCCTGAGGGCAAGCACAGGTCTGAGCCCATCTCATTTACATCAGGAATAGCTGTACAAAAGCGAATTAGTCACAAGGCCAGAGGGAACATGTGGATAATCTGTGTGATCTCCTACCTACCTCGGGTCAGAGAACTCCCCTGACCTAACTCATTCCCATTGGAACGGAAGCATCTCTTTGAGAAAAAGATATTTTGTTGTTAAATATTCCGTGTTGAACAACAAACCACAGACCTTTGCATGATCTTTCAGTGCTTAATTACTCTCATTGTTTATTATTATTATTATTATTATTACTATTATTATTGTTATTTGCCCTGAGTCAGAATCTGCCGAGGCCCATCCTCCAGCCTTTTATTCTCATGATGCCTTACTCTGTGAGCCCTCTTGTGTCAAATTTGTTTTTCTCTGCTTAAAGCCAAGCAACTATGAGCTCTGTGCCTGCCTCCAATTGGGAAAAGCAAGAGCAAGTTCTACTCCTGGGCTGATTCAGAGTTGCTTAATGCAGAACTCGTACAGAAAGCTTCAAAGAGCTTTGGCTGGTCTATGGTGGACTCAGGGGCTTTACTGAGCAGGTAACGCAGTACTTCTCTGCCTACATTTGGGAACCTGCTCTGATCTGCCCCATTAGGAGCAGACACAGAAGGCCAGAACAGCCCAAGGCATGCCAGAAGCAGAACAGCAAGTTCTGAGGACCTCTGCAGTCCAACAGCAAAGTGCCCAAAAAAGCTTCATATCCTGCAGGATTAAGCAGGTGGATCTTTTTACATCTGCCTTTATCTCCTTTTGGTTCCCTAGATGTTTTTCTGGAACTAGCCTGACCAACAGTGCTAAGTCATCCCTTACCTTGGATAAGTTGCATAGCTTTGAGCTCTTAGATGTGATGAGCTACACTTTGGTCGTTTGTTCTCATCATGGTCCTTTTTCTTTTTAGAGTTACGGCTATCAGGACTAGAGAACTGAGAGAACACAGGAGCCAAGTAGCTCCAGCAATGCCCTCAGCCTCACATCTTTCCTGTTTGTGGATCTAAGAATCTGGTTATGCATTTTGCCACAGAGACGTACGGAAAGACAACCTGCAGCTGATTACTCCCTACAGCTAAGCCAGATTTTTTCAGTTACTTGTTTTCACAACACGATCACTGGTGCTCTAAGTCTGATCTGCCTTGGTCTTAATCACTGCAGTCAGGATTTGCAACACATGAGAGGTTAATCTAGAAATGCTCATGAGCTTTATGACACATACACACATTCCTCATTCGGGTGGCTAATGTCTCTCAGTGACAGTGAGACTACAAGATGACCAGGACTTTTGTTTTCTGAAAGATGTTGCATTGTTCCTTCAGGTCTGCAGGCTGCACCACCCTGAGGTCCTTCGTTGCGAGACTGACAGTGGATGTATGGAATGCAAGCTCTTCATTCATCTTCTCTTACCAAATGTTACAATTAATCAGTGCTTGGCAGCAGTTCTTGTAACTGACCGCTTCTCCAAGCTCTGTGTCAGCTGAAAACTTTATCAGTGGAGGTTTTATTTGGGGGCACGGTTCAAAACAAAACAGCCCAACACAGTGTTAAACAGTAGACAACACCCAGTCCCTGCAGAATCTCTTTGGGAATGAACTGCTTAAGGATTGTTCTCCTTTTACATTTATTTTAAGATTAGTGTGCAAGGTTTTCATTAAAGTCGTGTGAACCACATTGATTTCATGCCCTTCAAGCTCTGTAAACAAATACAATATTCTAGCCAGACAGTTGTTCACAGAAGCAACAAAATACCTGTGTTTTATCAGTAAAACTTGCAATCTTGTTTTTGAAATACCAATTAATTTGACAGGAATTATTTTTCATGATCCCACGTTGACTGGCATTAATTATTATTACTATCACTGAGCTTCTTCAATATTCTATCAATTGAAGCCTCTGTCTACCCTTCTCTGATTTTCTGAGAGCCAAACCAACGGAGCTAGCACCATTAGGCCATCCCATCTGTCTGCTTTGGATACTGGCACAGAGTTGATCCCCCTTCCCCTCTCCTTATCTCCATACTTCTGTTATCCCAAAACAGAATAAAAAGCTCGTTATTTTGCTTGGCTCTCTCTCTTACAGGTATCAGATATAAATGATCTGTA